CCTGCTGGATGCCGACGGCATGGCTGTGCACGTGTCTGAGGAGGATCTGCCTAGTGGGGCCGTCCCTTGCTGGATGCCAACGGAATGGCTGTGCATGTGTCTGAGGAGGACCTGCCTGGTGGGGCCATCCCCTGCTGGACATCTGCGGCATGGCTGTGCATGCGTCTGAGGAGGACCCGCCTGGTGCCGTCCCCTGCTGGACATCGGTGGCATGGCGGTGCACACAGCCGATGAGGGTCTGCCTTGTGGAGCCCATCTGCCCGCCTGGGATGGGGGGACTTCGTGTCTGTTGTGCCTGCCTCATGGGAGTCATCCTCTCTGCTCTTGGGCATGAAGCGCACCTGCATGGTGCCCAGCAGTGGCCGGGCAGGGCCTTCAGCACTCTGCGGAGAGCACTCTGTGGGGAGCGTTCTGGGGAGGGCACTCTGTGGGGAGCACTCTGGGAGCGCTCTGTGGGGAGGACTCTGTGGAGAGCACTTTGTGGGGAGCCCTTTAGGGGGCAGTCTGGGGAGCACTCTGAAGAGCTCTGGGGGGGCCCTCTTTGGGGAGCCCTTGGGGGGTGCTTTATGGGGAGCGCTCTGGGGAGAGCTCTATGGGGGCACTCTGGGGAGAGCGCTCTGGGGAGCATTCTGTGGAGAGCATTTTGGGGGCACTCTATGGGGAGCACTGTGCGGGGTGCTCTGGGGAGCCCTCTCGGGCATTTTGTGGGGAGCACTCTGTGGAGAGCGTGTGAGTGAACATTGGGGCTCTGAGTGGAGCCCAGGCCCAGTTCTGTCCATCTTTAACAGTCAGGGAGAGCCCTACCTTAACATCAGGAGTGAGTCAGTTGTCCTGTGAGGATGATGGGGGTGGCCCTGAGCAGAAGGGCCCGTTGCGTGGGTCTCCCCAGATGTGCCCAGTGTTCTGAGCAGTAACACACGGGACCTTGCTGAAATGGCTGCATGCCTCCCCGTGTGCATCCAGCTGGGCACAAGGACCCCTGCAGGCAGTAGTGTGGACCGGCTCCTCTCTCGTAGTGCTCCTGCGGCTTCCTATGTGGCCAGAGCACAGTCAGCGCTCACTAAGCACTTGGCAAGGCCCAGGGGTGGCAGGTGTCGGGCCCTGCCCCGACACCCAGCCCAGGCACGCTGCACCAGTGCACAGTGGCGCGGGCGCCTCCCTGCCTGAGGAGACAGTCTTCTCTTCACACGTGTCATTTTTGTGAACATGGAAGTGACCTGTGGAAGGCCTCCGTGGGCCTTCGTAAACCGTGTCTGATGCTCGACGTTTCAGGTATGACCTGGATGCGTGTGACATCCAGGAGAAGTACCCCGATCTGTTCCAAGTGAACATCGAGGTGGAGGTGGAGCCCCGCGACCGGCCGAGCCAAGAGGACCCACCATGGGATAGCCTGAGCATGAAGGGGCTCAATCCCAAAATCCTCTTCTCTAGCCGGGAGGAGCAGCAGGACGTCCTGTCCAGATTTGGTGAGTGACGGCCTTCCTTTGTTGTCTGTGTGCTTCAGGGTTACCCACTCTGATGTTTGTCACCAAGTGAGAAACTCTTGGCAGGAGCCTGGATTGCTCCGACTCTGTCAGCTGGAGCGCTGCATCCGCAACAGCCTGTGTGGGGGCCTGGAGGCGCCTCTCACGCACCCCCGTGTACCCCCCACCTGTGCCCAGGTAGGGCTGGCTGGGGGCCTGGAGGCACCGCTCATGCACCCCGTGTACCCCCTACCTTTGACCAAGTAGGCCTGGTTGGGGGCCTGGAGACACTTCTCACGCACCTTCCATCAACCCCCACCTGTGCCCAAGTAGGGCTAGTTGGAGGCCTGGAGGCACTGCTCATGCACCCCCCGTGTACCCCCAACCTGTGCCCAAGTAGGGCTGGTTGGGGACCTGAAGGCGCTGCTCGCGTACCCCTGTGTAACCCCCACCTTTGCCCAAGTAGGGCTGGATGGGGGCCTGGAGACGCCTCTCATGCACCCCCATGTTCTCTACCTGTGCCCAAGGTGGGGCTGCCCCCAGGAGCAGGCAGGAGCCCCAGGTGGGGCCTGGGTCGGGATTTGGGAGGCCCCGGGTCTCCTCGAGGCATTGTGCCTGGTGTGCTTGGTGCCCTGTGGTCAGGCTGGAGGAACACACCTTCTCCCAGGCTCTCGGCTCTCCTCCACTGTGGGCAGAGTGTGTCCTCAGCGGTACAGGACAAGTTTCAGAAAGTCTTGTCATAATGAAACTGGCTTTAAGACCCAGTGAAAGGAAGAACTCAGTCACTGGTGTTTTCCAAGGCCTGCTCACTGTCTCCTCAGGCCACCTGGCCCTCAGGGTGCCTAGTCTTTCTTCACACCTGAGCGTCCCCCCTCAGGTACAGGTCCTGCAGTCCCCAGACTGAGGAGAAGGGCCCTTTATCTTGTCTCATGTGGGCAGGAATACAAAAGTGTTCCTGAAAACTGGGCAGGGATTTGCTCTCGTGCAGCCTTAGGCCTGAGGGCTCTGCTCTGAGAGGCTGTCAGGTAGGGTGGGGTCTGTGACCCAGCGGGTGGGATCTGCCTGCCAGGCGGGTGGGGTCCCGCTCGCTTACCGACCCTGAGAAGTTCCCTTTTCTGGGCACACATCCGCCTTAAATGTGACCTCAGTTTGGGTGGCTGTTCCCTGGGCCAGCCTGGTACAGCGCTGTCCACTGTCACTGGCAGGGTTGTTGAAGTTTGTCCTTCTTGGTGGTGACCCTGCCCGTTCAGCTTGGTTGACGCAAGAGCCTGAATCCGTCCGGTCTTATTTCAGAGCGGTTCCAACAAAAGTGTAAAGAGGGCACTGGTGGGTAGGACTCAGGATTTGGGTGGCTGGCCACATCGTGTTTGTCTTCACGTCCCTGGTTTGCGTTTTTCACGCTTTCTTATCTGAGGAGAGCCAAGTATCGCTGAAAGGTGTATGCGTGCATGTGTGTGCACGCACGTTTGTGGGTTTGCGTATGTGTGCACGTACATGTGACCCGGATAGCGCCTGAGTGGATAGTGGTGATCCAGTCACCAGGCAGACCCTCCCCAGCATCTTGGGTGTAGACACGGGTCTTCCAGCTGGGCTTGGACTCGGCTCACCTGTGCACACCTGTGCTCGGTGACCAGGTTGCTGGGGCTGCACCCGGAGCCGGTGCTGGTGCGTTGATGCTGTAGGCGGCTGTGTCTGGGGGCTGTGTGGCCTGACACTTGTCCCTCCCTCACCTGACAGGTAAGCCCGAGCTCCCCAGGCAGCCCGGCTCCACTGCCCAGTACGACGCTGAGGTGGCGGCGCGGTCCCCGGAAGGGGAGCCCGTGGGGTCGGATTCACCGCAGAGCAGTGGCACGGACACAAACAGCTTCCTACACACGCTCGACTGGCACGGTAGGGCCCTTGCGCCACCCACTGTCATCGCCCGTCTGCGGCGGGACCCTGCTGTCAGTGCCCACAGGCCCTCCCACCCACTTTGCCTCTGTGGCTTCTCCAGAGTGTCTCCCGGGCCTGCCGTGCCAGCCAGAGTCAGCCCCCCTGGAGCAGGTGCGCGCCAGCCCCCGAGCAGTGGCCGGTCTCGATCAGTCTCCCGGGAGCTCAGAGCCGGGGCGTTTGGGTGGAAGCCAGGCGCGTGACTCCCCGTGCACAGGACACGCCGACACACGCTAGGACAGTGATCAACGTAGCAGGAGACAGCGCAGAGGCTGGTGCAAGTGACCGGGGTGGAGGCTGAGGGAAAAGCAGGGAGCCTGCAGAGGAGACGGCTCGAGAGCACGGCTCGGTCGGCAAACACAGATACGCCCACGAAGCCTGCAGCGTTGAGTCTGGCCCTTTATGGAAGACGTTTGCCCACCCCTGCCCTCAAGCCCCGGCGCCATGCTGCCCTCCCAGCCAGCCCATTTGCTCAGCTGTGTGCCTGCCCAGGGTGTTCGTTGAGGGCATCCACCTAGAGTGCGGAGTGTGCAGGGAGACCCAAAGCAGGTGGGCACAGTCACAGCAGAGGCTTCAGCAGCCTGTTCAGGTGACCGGTGCCTGCCCCCAGGCAGCAAGCTCACTGTTTCAGTCGGGCCCAGTCAGGTCCTCCTACTCAGGGAGTCAGGCCCAGGGCCCATGCCTCACGCTGACACATGCGTGTCCACATGGAGGTCCCATTGGCTCTCCCCAAAGAACACGCCAGAGGACGGCCACGCTGTCCCTGTCCAAGCCACCCTCGCCTGCCCCCTCTGCTCTGTCCCCAAGCCGGAACTCCCAGCCCGTCCGGTCTTCTGCCCTCGGGGTGAGGTCTGTGTCTCACGCTGAGCTGGCTCAGGAGGTTTGCCCCCCAACCCCTGTGAGCTGGGGGCACCGAGGCAGTCTGGGGATCACTGATAGAAACAGCCCCGGATGCAGGACTGCTCGAGGTGCAGCCCAGATGAGGGGCTGCGGGTAGTTATTGGACTCTGGGGGACTCCAGACACCACGTTGCGCGGGCTGGTCCTGGTAGACGTCACACACTGCGGGAAGTTGAGGTGATGGCCGGTCAGCCCTGTGGTGGGTGATGTCCCGCAGAGGGTGGGGTCAAGGTCAGCCCTGTGGTGGGTGGTGCCCCGCAGAGGATGGGGTCACGGTCAGCCCTGTGGTGGGTGATGTCCCTCAGAGGGTGAGGGTCATGGTCAGCCCGGTGGTGGTGGTGTCCCGCAAAGAGTGGGGTCAAGGTCAGCGCTGTGGTGGGTGGTGTCCCGCAGAGGGTGGGGTCGCAGTCAGCCCTGTGGTGGGTGATGTCCCTCAGAGGGTGAGGTCGTGGTCAGCCCTGTGGTGGGTGATGTCCCTCAGAGGGTGAGGTCACGGTCAGTGCTGTGGTGGGTGATGTCCTGCAGAGGGTGGGGTCATGGTCGGCCCGGTGGTGGTGGTGTCCCACAGAGGGTAGGGTCATGGTCAGCCCGGTGGTGGTGGTGTCCCACAGAGGGTGGGGTCGCGGTCAGTGCTGTGGTAGATGGTGTCCTACTGAGGGTGAGATCATGGTCAGCTCTGTGGTGGGCAGTGACCTGTGAAGGATGACCTCCACAGAGTGTGCTGGGTACCTCCTCTCCCCAGGTCCTGCCCACTGCCTGCTGGCCCAGCCTGGCTGTTTCTGCCTTGGAACCTTCCCTGCCCTCCCCCTCCTGTCCCACCTCCAGGGCCCCCACGTGCCTTGTTCATTCTGGACTTGTCTGCCACCTTCTGTGTGCTCCTGCAGCAAGTCACAGGCATCTGGCCTGGTGGCCCCTCAGTGTCTCTTCTTCCACAATTCCTGTTCCCGCCCCTCGGCTCCCCCTTTTCTGCAAGAGGCCATCCTCACCACCAGGACCCCTCCGCATGCCCTCCCACCAGCCGCCTCGGCTCCCACCTCTGCTCAGAGTTGAGCTTCCTGGTTGGAAAGGGGCTCCTGGCTGGCACTCCCGCTGCTGTGGTGTGGTGTGGGAGCTGGTCCTCCTCCTCCTCGTCTCTCCCTCCTTCTCTTCCTCCTCCTCGTCTTCTCCCTCCTCCTCCTCTGACTGGGCAGCCCCTGAGGCCGTGGCCTGGGTTCTGCCGCAGACGGACGGGCTGGGTATCTGCCCTCTGGGTCGGGGTCGTGAACACCCGGGGCGCCGTCATGGGGTCTGATACACGTGTCTTCTGACCTGTTGGCCTGTGCTGTTGTGTTCTCTTCACAGAAAGGAAGGAAACAGAAACTGGCGTTGTAAACAGCTTTCTCAAAGAAAGCCAGTCTGCGCTGATTGAAGATAAAGATGAGAGTGAACTATCAGATGAGGAAGCCCCTGCCTTCTCCGGTGAGGGCAGGGAGGTCACAGCCGAGGAGGACGCGTCCGGCTGCACAGGAACGGCCGAAGAGCAAGACCTGATTTTTGCGACCGAGACACCCTCCCCGCCACCGGAGCCTGCGCCAGAGGACAGTGTGGACCTGCTGGGGCTGCACTCGGAGGCAGGGCCGGAGCCGGCACCCCCTGTGCAGGGCGGCGGGGGCTCCTCTAGCAACGCCGACCTGCTCAGCGGCCTCTTTGTGCCCTCTGCGGCCACTCCTGAGGGGCCCACAGGCGACCTGCTTGGCGGAGAGGCTGCACTGTTCTTCCCCAGCCCCGGTGCACCCCTTGGACCTCAGAGTGCCCCCTGCGAGGGGTCTGCTGCAGCTGGTACGTGTGCTCTGTTCCGATGGGGGTGCGTCTCCTCATACCTGGTGATTGTCTGGATGTTGTAGATGTGTGGATCTGCGCTGTTGTCTTACAGGAAGGAAAACGTGCCTTGGGGAGGGGAGTTTCCAGGGAGTGCTGTGCTCTCTGCCCATTCCGGGTCCCCCCCAGGGGGTGCTGTGCTCTCTGCCTGTCCCGGGCCCCCTC